GAACAACTCATCCCAATTTGGGATAAAAATCAGATTTGTTTTGAAGAGAAAGTAAGAGGGAAAGGGGGAAGAATGGGAGGATGATGGTTTGATGCCCTCCACGTTTCACTTTTTTTCTTTGCCTACAAGGGTATTTTGGTAATTATCCACACATAAGGGTATTTTGGTCATGTTTGTCCAACTTGAAATTAAACACACTTAATTTAATAATCTCAATCCAAAATCACTTGATAAAATAGTCATAATCATTCTCCACCATTATATTATTTTTCACTAAATTATGAAAATCCACCTTGAATTTTTCGGGGTATTACAAACCCCATCTCCATTGTGCCGTCTTAATCACCAAGCTCGCCATCCATGTCACAAATCTCGGCGTCGAGTTCATTGATGTCGTCATATCCCTTGCACCTAGGTCACTGAGGTCGCCATCTTCACAAGGACACCTCCACGATCTTCGAGATCTGCTTCATGGGCCTCTCTCAAGCCCACTGGTCTCTTATCTTCCAAGTTTTGCCTTCTCTTTGTCGACCTGTTCTCTATTAAATTTGAGGTTTCGTTTTGGTCTTTATCTAACTTTTGCTTGGGCGATTTCAGAGATCTGCAGGCGACGCTTTTTAGTGGTGGTAACAGGTTGGATGGTCACGGTGTGATAACGATTCTGTTAGCCATCGTGACTGGGTCCAAGTCTGGCGAAGTCCGGTTATGAGTGTCTATGTGCTTTTGTTTTCGATTTATTTCCATTTATTTTGCTTTTTTATATATATATATAATTGTTTTCTGTTTCCTGCCATTTTTGTTTCATAGAGCACAGATCTGCTTAGGTTTTACACAAAATATGTTGATCTTTTCCTTTCCCCCTTTATACTGGTGTTGATTGAGATTTTTATTTTGTTTTGTTTTTATATCTAAAGTTGTAGCAATGTGACTTTCGTTAAGGTTGGCTGACACTAATTCAAAATTTGAATAAAAGCTTGAATTACTTGTGGTTTAAAAGTGTGTCTAGAATTGGTAATTTGAAGTGTTTATGGTGGAGGGTTAAATTAAATTCTTCAACCTTGTTATGATGATCATTTGGTCCAGATTTAAGCTTCTAAGGGCGGTTCCAGCGGCCTACCCTTTGCTCGGGCAAGGGGGGGCCTAGGCCCAAAAAGGGTTTCCAGCGGACAAATGCTACCAGGGCTATTAGTGGGCTCCACAAGCCTGGGTTGGCCCAAAGGCAAGAATAGCCTGGGCTGTTGCCCGGGTTTGCTGACATCAGCAATGATGTCAGCAACGAAAAAAATTAAAAAAAATAGAAAAAAAAACTAAAAATTTCATAATTTTTTTTAATAAATACTTAGTCATATTTTTTACTTCTCACACCAAAACTCTATATAAATTCCTCTCCTCATATCTCATGTGAATAGTGGTTGCCATGGCAATGGGTGGAAACACCACAAGCCTTTTGCAAGGGCTGTCACTATTCACATGAATAGTAGCAGCCCTTGCCCTTTGCCATGGCAAATGGGTGGAATTGCTCTAATGGTAGTTTAATAAGTATTCTTCTTGGGAGGATCTAAGAATTTTGTCCGCATTTGAGGCTTGGTTTAGTTGAATTCATTTTTGTTTTGGTTTGGTTTTTATACATATGCATGTTCTAGATTCAAGTTTGTAGGTAGTTCATTTGTTTTTCCTTTTTACTAGGCAATGCTAGTTTAGAGGCTGCTATAGATTGGATATCGTTGATCATGAGAATAATGCCGACATTGATGAGATGTCGTTGGTATGATATGTTATCGTACTTGGTTGTGCATCTTTATTACATTGCATTCAAATTTCCATTACTACAACGAACATGTCGAATTGGTGGTGTTCGGTTAAAATAATTTCCAGTGGGATTTCATAGAGGATTTACTCTCAACTGGTCAACTACTCACTAGGTAACAGTGGACATTAGCATTGGATCTCCAGAACCATTCTACATCACAGAAGGGATGAAAATAAAATCACAGGAGTTAAGGTTACTTTCTCATCATCCTTATGGTTACATTAAATGCACTTGTGCACACACAAGTTCTCTTAAATTGCTTGATGTTTGAAGTTCATTTGTGACTTTTATATTGAAGTTCAATAAACACTTATGCACTTCGTTGTGACTTTTGTATTGAAGTTTATTTGGATGGAAAAGAAACCGAGCTTGGAATAGTTTTTTTTTTCTTTTTCTTTTCCATTTGTTTTCCTTCTCTTTAGTGTTTATGGCCTTGAATGAAGTTCTGTTTAATGTTTGGCACATCTCCAATTGCAAGCTTGAATTACTCTTTGGGTGGGACATCATGAAATTATAGGTATAACTTCTTCGAAGTATATTGCCTTTTCTTCTTTTTGTCTTGAGGGATTGCTTTTTTTTTTTTTTTTCTCTATCTTAATAACTTGTGATGGGCTCCAAGAGTGGATGTCCCATCACCTCTTTGCTGATTTACTGATTGCTTATATCTTGTGTATTTGTTTTACCCCACGAGTCCTTGTGCATTTGAATTATTCTTCAGTTTTTTTGAACGTCAATGATCTTCTTTCACTTGAGGGCAAAACTTGCTGGTCTAGACAACTTTCAGCCATATGTATTGCTTTTCTTCTCCCGATAAACACGTGAAGGTAATAGTTTGTCCAAGTATATTGTTGTGCTTGTTTTGTGAGATCATGCTCTAACTCTTCTTTTTTTATTTGCAAATTTATAACTTTTTTTTTTGCAGGTTTTCTATGGTCTTTTTTATGTGAGTCGTATATTTGTTTTTTGAAAATTTGTTACCTTCTCTTTTCACCATCATTTTATTTATATTTTTTTTTCCCTTTTGCAGGTTCTCTATGGTCTTTTTATGCTCATTTTTACAGGTTTTCTATGGAAATATAGTCCAATTTGTAAAATTTCTCTCACCTAATTTTATTTGTTTATAATCTTAGCTTTTTTCTTTCTGTCATTTTGATTTATTTACAGGGATGAGGGAGGAGACTTCAATTGTGCTTCATTTGTATGTTTGGATGAGAGGAACGCTTGGATTAGGAGTACGTAGGTCTTGTTAGGAAAAGATTGTACTACTTAATTACTATGTATCAATTGAATATTTATATTTAATTGGTAGGAAGTATGTTTGTTGTAGAATAAAGATTAGTTAACTATGTAATAACTATTAAATCTTCAAGTTTTATGAAAGAAACAATTTTTGAGTGTATATATTCATTAATAAAGCATTATGGTTGGTTTTCTAATTAAAATCATTGTATATAGGAAACCAAAAAGAACTAAAATGTAATAGCTTGGGAACTTATTAGACGGCGGTTTTTATAATAAACCATCGTCTTTACAGATAATTAACGACTGTTTTTATAAGCAACCATAGTCTTTGCAAAAAAAAAAACCACGACAGTTTTTGTAAACAAACCGTCATCTTTATTCCTATAATTAACAATGTTTACCTCTAAACGACGACGGTTTTTAACAAAAACTGTCGTCTTTATATGAAAACAACAACGGTTTGTAACAAAAAACGTCGTCTTTATAGATAAATAATGACAGTGAAAAGCCGTTGTAATTTGACACCCAAAAGATGGCGGTCGATTTAACGACGGTTTTCAAAGCATCACAACGACGGTGGATCTCCGTCGTCTATTTCAATTTTTTAGTAGTGAAGATACATTGACAAAAGTGTGTGTTATTTACATTTTAATAAACTGTTGTTTGCGAGTTTTGAGATTCATTGACAAGAATTTTAGTTTAAATACCAACATTTTACTTTATGTACAACCAAACAATTCCTAGCTGCTCCCTCCTTTGCAGGCATCGTTTCCAGTCAGCCTCCAGTCACCACTGGCGACTACTGGCGAAAATTTCCAGTCAGTACCCTGCCAACCACCATCATCTTAAGGAAAAAAATTCACATATTAAACTGCGCAACAGTCATCAATTTCTTGGCTTAAATTTTTTAGCTTTATTTTGTTCTTATTTATTGATTTGGGAAACACTGTGACACACATAAATAAGCAATTGGCTGATAGTCAGTGATCAAAATCAACATCGGCCTGGTCCAAGCAAGAGGGCCACTTCGGTCCTCTTGCTTAAATTAAAGCATAGCACCAAACCAAGTCTGGATATTATTGGCGTCTGTCGTAGGCCTGCCATGGTTCAATTTTGTTTCTTTGGGGCTTTTACCCGTCTCTCACCAAACAAAGAAATAATTAAGCTCCCAAATAAATTTACCCAACTCAACACCTATAGAGTTTTGAAGCTTAATTGTCCACTGAATAATGTTACTTCTCAACATCTGTCATAAACTTTGTTTTTATTTAATAGGGGAAGAGAATTCAAACTAAGGATCGTTTCCAACATTGAGAAAAGAAGTATCAATATTAGACTAAGAATTGTTAGTTGTTAGAGTAAATTAGTGTGTAAAATTTGTTGGTATTAGGGTTTTCTAAAATGTCTACAACAATTATGTCTTGAAGCTCTTTTTTTTTTTTGCCAAGATTTATGTCTTGAAGCTTTTTTTTCTTTTGGTCAATAATTATGTCTTGAAGCTTAAGCTTGCCAACTTTGTCAAAGTTGGTGGACATCTCTTGAGTTCTCTCCACTTCTCTAGATTTTTCAAGACACAAATGAGGATTAACTTTGAACACAATTTGCAACTTCACACTGAAAACAACAGTAGTCGCCATTTCGGAAGCAAGCCAAAGTCGTCTTTGGAAAAGACAGTACTTGGACTTGGTTAAGTCCATTACTCACATTTACACGCATTTACATTTTCAAGAATTACAACGTGTGATGCAGGATGTTCAACATCCGTGTTATAAATTAGTTTGTCATGCCTCAAATGGAAATTGCCAATTTCACAACCAAATACCCATCTCCTCTCTATACACCAAAAACTAAAAATAAAATGAGGGTTTTTGTTGTGAGATTCATCTTATTATACTCACTTTGCTATGCAGTTTTGTTCGTTTGCTGTGTGAGCTCCATGAATTTGAGAATGGGAGGGAACGAGACGGATAAGCTGGCACTGTTAGCCATCAAAGCTCAAATAAAGCGAGATCCTCTTAATGTAACGAGCTCCTGGAATGAATCCATTCACTTTTGCTTCTGGTACGGTGTCACCTGCAGTCGACGACACCATCAAAGGGTCACAATGCTAGACCTACGATCTCAAAATCTTGCAGGGTTCTTATCACCAAACATAGGAAATTTGAGTTTCCTGAGGGAACTACGGCTCCAAAACAACAGCTTTAGCCATGAAATACCTCCACAAATTGGGCATTTGCATAGATTGCAGGTATTACGTCTACACAACAACTCATTTACTGGCTATATTCCAAACAACATATCATATTGCTCCAACCTCATCTTCATGAACATCGGTGCGAACCGGCTAGTGGGTAAAATTCCATCTGAATTTGGCTCTTTGTCGAAGCTTCGAAGATTTATTTTACAAATTAATAATTTAACGGGAGAGCTCCCTCCTTCCTTGGGAAACCTTTCGTCTCTCGAGGTACTTGCTGTATCTCTTAATAAATTGGTGGGAAGCATCCCTACTTCTCTAGGCCAATTGAAAAAATTAACATTTTTGTCATTTGGCTCAAACAACTTATCTGGTACCATTCCTCCCTCCATCTATAACCTCTCTGCTCTAAATTTTTTTTACGTAGAAATTAATAAAATTCGAGGGAGTCTTCCATCAGACTTGGGAAACACTCTTCCTAATCTCCAAATCTTTAGCATCGCTGCAAACCAATTTTTTGGATCCTTGCCACTCTCACTATCGAATGCCACGAATCTACGTGTAATTCAAGTTCCGGAAAACAAGCTGACGGGACAGGTGCCGGATTTACGAAAGCTTCATAACCTACAGCGATTCATCATTGCTGATAATCATCTTGGAAGCGGTGCAGATGGTGACTTGAGTTTTTTCTCAGACTTGACCAATGACACAGAGTTAATAAACTTGAGTATTGAGGGAAACAATTTTGGTGGGACGTTGCCCGCATCAATATCCAATCTCTCAACCAAGCTTCAACTGTTTTGGTTTCACAGAAACCAAATACGTGGAAGCATCCCAAGAGACATAGGGAATTTGGTCAAGTTGGAATCGTTGGGAATGTGGGGAAATAGCTTCACGGGTAGCATCCCCAGTGAAATTGAGAAGATGTCAAGCCTTGGGGAATTAGATATTTCTATGAATGCATTATCAGGAAGCATTCCGGCGTCTTTCGGAAATTTAACCAAGTTATACAGACTCTACTTAAGAGGAAATAATCTTGAGGGCGTCATCCCTTCAAGCCTGGGGAATTGCCAGCGGTTGATATTATTGGATTTATCTAATAATGAACTTAGTGGTGCAATACCTCAACAAGTTTTTGGCCTCCCATCCTTATCACAGTTTTTGAACTTGTCTAGGAACCACTTTACGGGTTCTCTTCCGATGGAGGTTGGAAAGTTGAAGAGTC